GTTATTTTCCCCTAAATACTTCCTGGAATATGTTCAAACTAAGGCTGGAGATATTTTTTACTTCTGCCAAGACTCGTAAGAAAAAATGATGTTGGATTTTTATCATTTATCATGCGCTGGAAAGGATCATTACATTTTACAACGAACGAAACATAAAGCATTTCTAAAAAACGTTTCTTACATTTCTTTAGCAGCTGGAACGTACATCTATTAAGAGGGGGAAACAGATTAGGTGAAAATGTTGAGTCAGAGGGTGGGATATGCGGAAGAGAGATAGAGGGATAGCTTGGTCTTCTTGTGGAATTCTTATTTTTTTTCTCCGCGGATCTTTTGCGGAACTTTCTTGGAAGGAATATTTGCATATTTTTACCATCACAAAATTCCAATTCCATGTACTATAAGTTTACACTAATGTGATACACCTGTGTGATTAATACCTGATCTGAGACCAGAGGTGGGTTCCTACCAGTTCGCACCTATTCGGTAGAACTGGTTCGTCAAACATACCGAACCGGTTAGAAGAGGTTCCACCAGTGGACCCGGAAAGCAGGCCACACCTACAGAAGAGGTTCCAAAAATTTTTGAAACCCACCACTGACACATACATACATACACACACGCACACACAGACAGACAGACTCACACAGAGAGAGAAAGAGAAAGAAAGAAAGAAAGAAAGAAAGAAAGAAAGAAANTTCTCCTTCTCCTTCTCCTTCTCCTTCTCCTTCTCCTTCTCCTTCTCCTTCTCCTTCTCCTTCTTCTTCTTCTTCTTCTTCTTGTTTTTGGCTGGAAAACATTTTGCTTCTTACCCTAGAAGCTCCTTCAGAACTATTTCGAAAGATTTTGCTTTATGCTTCTCGAAGTTTTCGAAGCTAACTCTTGGCATTTGACATAATTGACATTTCTGTCCTGGGAAACTCTTGTTCCCAATGTAACTCCCACATCACATTCGCTTCCGAAAGTAATATGGTCTCCCCTATAGATCTGGATCAACCATATCTAGGGTGTGTCCATGTAGTTTTCTTTGCGGTGATAAGTAAAATAACTCTGTCCTGTCTATAGGCAAATGGTGACAGAAAAAGGAGACTGGGGACTTGAAAAGAGGGGTGGGGGGAATCCATCATGAATTGGAAGTACCCAGCTGGCACTTCTGTGCTCATTCTCACTACTACTGCTGACCTGACTTTGGCTCCAGTGTTAGGGGTGGTGAAATGCAGGGGAGGATATACAACTTGAGACTGTAGTTGGACAGAATCAGAATAACAGGGTAGCACTACATTAAAATTAAGGACAATTTAAGACTGCCGTGTCTCACACATGGGCCAGGGTAGAAAATGATGGTAATATCAGCAGGATAAGGAGGGATGTGTGTGTGTGTGTGTGTGAGTGTGTCATTTATCAAAAAACAATTGTATCATAGTTCAATGCATCTGATTTATTACAACTGCAAGACCACTTGTAGAAAAATGCCCATATTGCTCCACCAATAAATTTGTTTAAAACTGCAAATGATTCAGCATAGAATCAAATATGCATATCTTATTCTGTTAACATCACCATCGCATTTAGCGAACATTTAATTGCTTTTTTCCATAAGCTTTGAGAGTGGAACTGCGTGTTTCAGGCAAGCAAGTACAATTTGCTTTTTCCAAGAGGGGGGAAAAAATGGGTTCAAGACAGGGTAATTTGGAGCTGAGTTGGCAGAGGGTGGGAGGAGATGGGCCTTACTAATCCATAATCAAATGGAAACAGATTGTACTTTTTGGCTCCTAAAGATTGATCACGATGTGTAGTATCTGTCTCACCCTGTTTGTAACCCTTTGCATTCATTCTTCCTTTACATAGCTATCTTAGAGAGAAAAGGAGGGCACATAGATAAATTATTTAAGATATGCCACAAGTTGCGGAAGAGGGCTTTTATTCATCTGTTTATTTAGCTTATGGCAAATAGCAATAGCAGTTAGACTTATATATCGCTTCATAGGGCTTTCAGCCCTCTCTAAGCGGCTTACAGAGTCAGCATATCGCCCCCACAGTCTGGGTGCTCATTTTACCCACCTCGGAAGGCTGAGTCAACCCTGAGCCGGTGAGATTTGAACCGCTGAACTGCAGAGAACAGTCAGCTGAAGTGGCTGCAGTGCAGCACTTTAACCACTGCGCCACCTCGGCTCTAAATACATGGACTTATGATAAAGTAGGACGTAAAGTGAGATTTGGACATTAAGTGTGAAACCTGCGGGGTCAGGCTGGACAGCCTCTCGGGGACCCTTTACTTCTATATTAACAAGCCACATAGGCAGATTTGCAGCTTGCAAAAGAACAGGAAGCAAGTGCCTAACCACAAGATGTTCTAGCCAACGTCCCTATGTCAAAACCTATGTCAAAAGTCCAAACCACAAGGTTCAATTAAAGTTAATTAATGACACCTCGTCCATACCTGTAACAAAAGGAGAAGTAAGACCCCATCTCCTTATAAGGCTTTCTCCTCAAGGTAACCACTAAGAAATGAGTTAAGTGTTTCTGTGTTGCAATGCTTTTGAGAATGTATAAGAATGCGTGCTTTGATAATGAAGGTTGTTCAGAGCTTGCAATAGCTTTCTGAACCTGGCTGCCAAATTAAACTTTTCCTGTATC